GCAACTATGAACTATCCCTTAATTAAACCATCAGGATGATGGTCTTAAGGAGGGGGTAATGTTATGATTTTTCCTTTTTTTTTTCCTTATTTTCTGTCCTTAACCCCTATTTATGCTTAGTCAGAGTGCTTAAGGAAGACTAGCACTTGGAAATGTGGGAAGGGCTTAGTCATCACAAATGAGCCATCCACTATTCTTCCTTCACAACACTGCCTGAGGACACACAGTCACTCTTTTATGTATGGTTGCAATGCTCAAGGACAAAGAGCACAACAAGCAGAGAAACACACAATTAGCATAGGATTATTATTAGCACACCATATACAGTATTTAAAGAGCATGCTCTCACTGGTAACAACCCAGCTTTGAGCTAAAGTTTATACATCCTCATTCTACTCTCAAGCTACTTCATAAAAAGCCTTGAAGCATGAACAACTACATTGTGAACCCTAATGGAAGGCTTGAACACAAAGCCACATTAGCTTATCATGTGCTAGTCTATCACATGCTGCTTGAGCCTAACAATCCTCATCACTAGAGGCTGGCCTGGGGATGCTTCAATGGGATGACTGATAAGCATCATCCTCTTCATCCCTTTGTTCTGGATGGCAATGACATCTCTGATGATGATCCTCCTCATCACTAGTGGTGAGCTCAGGGCACCAGCTTCAACAGAATGACTGATGAGCATCATCATCTTCATCTCTCTGTTCTGGATGGTGATGACATCTCCCATGATGATTATGAATATGGGTGGACTCAGAGTGCCTGCTTTGATGAGATCTCCAATGTCCAATGGCATGAACAGAAGGAGGGGTCAAAGATGCTAGATGCCTGATTAGACCAATGGCTACTTTCCAGTAATATGCATACCATCATGACATTGATCCTCATCATTGTCCTCATCCTCTTCTTTTTCTTCTGCTCCTGCTTCTTCTGCTCCTCCTGCTTCTTCCTGATCTTCATTGTCAGTGAACAAGCTACTTGTATATCCTGATCCCTGAAAGAAACTGTCATCATTCTGGTCAGAGTTCATGCTAAAGGGGAAAAGTAGTTGGGTGATATCACTTGTGTGCATCTCCTTTATACTAAGAAAGGTACCCAACACTGGCAACATATCAATGTATATAGATAATTGAGCACTATTGCTATTCATATGGGAAGATGCTCTGAGTTCAACTACACAATCTTAACAAATGAAATAGGCATGGATAGAAAAAAAGGATGTACACTCCACCATGTCACAATAGACTGATCCTCATTCAAGTGATCCTTCATGTTTATATACTCATTGAACTGTTCTCCCCATCTTTGAGAGATAGTCACTGGGGCTTTATCATAAGAGACTGAGAGAAGGTGCTTTATCTTTTCCCTCTTTTTTGACATCCTAGGCAATTTTAGAGGAGCCTCTGTGATTCCATACATTGCATCATAGTGAGCTTTGAACTATGTGATGTCAGTCACAATAAAAACAGAACTTCACTTGGACACATGTCTTATTCCAAACAAGATTCTAGGCTTTGCTGCATGTGGTCTCATCTCATTCACTGTTGAACCAAGATATCTTCTGAGATGGATCAAGAACTGATAAAAAATGACATAAGGATATATGATGAATGAATACAGAGTGCTTCACTGACCTGAACAAATGATATAGGCATCCGAGTTTTTGACACAAGAGTAATGGTGTTCAATAGTAGCTAGGCTGACCTGAATGGCCTCAGGAAACAGGGCATATTCCAGAGCATTGAGGCATTTTCTGAGATTGTGATAGAGTTGCTTGAGTGCAGGTATAACAAGGCAGAGGGTGGGATACCCTTCAGCAGAGAATTCTTGCTGAGCATCATCAAAAAGCTGTAATAGAAAGCCCATTAGCAAAGGCCCAGTGTACATGCCACTACTCCCTCAAACTTTTGAGGCAGTGAGTCTATACCCAGCTCATGGGCCACATGCACCAAAAGAAGTGTTGTGAAGGACTGCAGTCTGTTCCATTCATCTGTTGTTATCTTCAATGACTCTAACTTCTGTGTCTCAGCCTTATTTTTTTCATCATCAATCAACTCCTTCAAAAATTGTTTTACTGCCTGTAACTATGTTAGCAACTCAAAATTATCACAATCAGACTTGGTCATGCATCTCTTTCAATAGAACCCCATGATAACACATCAAGAACATCAATGACCAGTGCACAATCATGTCAAGCTTGAGATGCTTGAGCTGTTCTATCTCAGCCTGTGGATCTTTTGACAGTATCATTTGATTTCATGCTTATAGGTAGATGATGGTACATGAATTTCTCAGAAAAACCTCAGAAGCAACCCTAAGTTAGGGTTTAAAGCAGCAGCAGTACACAGAACAGCAGTGGTGGGACTGCAAAATGCAATAGATGCCTCACTCAGTGCATGGACCATGCACAGGCTGGTACTGCAAATGCACAGTGGTCTCTCTTGTGCATGATCCATGTGCTTGGATAGGGGGCATATCTGTTTCACAGTACATGAAGTCTATGCCCATTTGCATGTGACATAGACATGAGGAGCATAATTCTTTTACAGTACATGACCAAATCTTGAAATATGCCTATTATTGCAATTTAGAATTTGTGTAGGTAGCATGTACAGTCTATGGTACATTACCAAATCTCAAAATATGTCTATTCTTGTGTTTTGGAATCTTGTAAGGCTTGCATTCAGTCCACAGTACATTACTGATTCTTGAAATATGCTCATTTTTGTGTTTTAGAAACAGTGTAGGCCTTGTATCCAGTCTGTAGTACATGACTAATTCTCAAAATATATCCATTTTTGTGTTTTAGAAACAGCATAGGGCTTGCATCCAGTCCACAGTACATGACTGAATCTTGAAATATGTCCATTCTTGTCATTGAGAATCTTATAGTGAGTGCATCCACTCTGTGGTAAATCACCAATTTTCACATGGAGAGCAGAATATGGCTCTCATTAAGAAATCTTGAGTACAAAATAACATTCAGTATGCTACAGATTTATTTTACATTTTGAGAATGATTGTATGCTAGGTATAGCAATAACTATAGTATGGTATGGAAGTCTACATTGTCAAGATATATGGTTGGCAAGTATGCTACAGGAATGTAACAATGCTAAGTACAAAATATGTATGGCAATTATCAAGAAATGAACAGCTATGGTTGTGTCATCAAAATAAAGTGTTCTGTGCTCCTGCAAAACATCAGAGATAATTTTGGTCTATAGAATGATAAAACTCATATTACAGTGTCTCATCCTCCAGCCACTGAAGTTTATACTGGATACTTATTCTTCCAGTGTTGTCCTCCTATTGTGTTTTCCCACAGAGAGAATGGTCACCAGTACTGCTGACTGTGCAGTGGATCACCCAGACTCTAATTCCTGAACTTGATCCCTAGATCATCCAATGAAGATCAGACCTGTGATCTAACTTTCTGATCTAAAATTAATCAGATCATGACAGGTGCATATAGCACTTACAGAAGTAGCCAGTCCATCAGCATATACCTCAACTGCACTCTGATCTCCTGCTCTTGCACTCTTACATATTTCATCAGATCTGACTTAAATGTTGCCAATTGTGCATTGGTTTGTCTCTGAGCAATGCTGTGGTTCATCCAAAGGTCAATCTTCATGGCATGAATTCAGCATTAAGGTTGGAGATGGTGATTGGCTGGTGGAGTGGATGGAATGGGCATAGATCATGCTAGAGAGTGAGAATAGATGTTGAGTACAAGAGGCAGAGGAGTGAATGCAGAAGTAGAGAATCACAATCAAGTGATATTAGCACCCACAGCATGTTGACATTGATGCTGCTAGCTATCAATCCATGATGAAGTTCATTGATCAGATAAAAGATAATTAAGTGGCTGTATGATATGATTGAACATTTGGCAGGGTGCATAGCACAACAGCCAAAAAGTAATTTGTGCAATCAAAGCTATAATTGCATTAAATATAGGATGGTAAAATTCTGCTTCCACTGATGATGTATTGCAGCATACAATTATTTTTTTGAATATGTTCCACCTTGATAATCACTGAACATGTCTGAATCTTTTCCCTGAATATTTTTTCAAAAAACTGCAGCAACTGCAGTTATTGATTGATTGGATTCTTGAAAAAGAAGAAGCTGCATAAGAAGCTGCATATACCAAGTAGGGTTAATTACACTTCTTATCAAATATATTTTCAGATGTCTCAATGCTGATCTTTGATATTGATACATCTAGAATCAAAGAAAAAAATTTTAATCTTTATGAGATAAATCCCACTATCAGCATCAAGCTTCATATGCCACAGTGCTATATATATAGGGCATGAGTGTCACATATATGTTATTCTTTCTTCCTTCAAAAAAGTTGATTCTCACTCTGCCATTCAGTATCACTGCTCATCTTCAAAATGCCTTGCATTGCACAGAAATCTCATGCTCTATTTGCTGCCATTTTTGCATTGTATTCTGACCTGTTTGATGAGGAAACATGGCAGCAGCAGTTTGGATTCCCTAGCTTTGATGCCAATCACATCAGAAATCTCCCTTGGGATAAGGCTATAACTTGTGTCAATATAAAGGGTGCCAACATGTTTCTCCAAGATTATATCACATACCAAAACTGGTGGTCAAAATCATGCATAATGTCAAAGCTCAGAATCACCCACAACTATGCTATTCTTCATACTAGTATCAACATCAAGGCAATGTATCAGATAGCTGCAAAGAAAGGGAATGCAAAATTTGTTACAATTACAATGTTTGGATTGAAAGAGGCAGAAATTGCAGAAAGCATATTTGGCAAAGCATTTGAGGACAGTGAGTTGGGTTGCATATGAGAGGAGTTCCAGCAACTCATCCACTCATTGATATTGGACTATATCAAATGTCAATGCAAGAATCACTGCCTGACAGAAATGTGCAGACTTGAGGTGAAGAGGGAGCTCAATGCTGCTTGGAAATATGTGTGCTCTTTATATCTATTTTGTTTCCTACTAATGTTGTCAGTGTTTGAATCTGGCAATGGCCAAATCAACCTGAAAGATGCAAAGAAGATTGCAAATGCTCTTGAGAAATATGAGAAGTACATCAGTTGGGAGGCAATGGAGCAGGATAAGGCTGCATTGGCAGAATATGAACAGAGGAAGGGCGAGTTTGAACAGGCACTTTTGAAGGTAGAGGCTCAGGAGGAATTAAAGAAAAACAAAAAGAGTTCACAGTGTAAGTCTCACATTTTATGCAGTGCTCTGCATATCTGACATATGTTGCAGACATCCTTGGATGTATAATGAACTGAAGGATTGCTGTTATAGCCACTGAAGAGGAAATAGTGATGCTCCATGAGGACCTTGCTTTATGGCTCCAGACTATTCAGAGCACATGCAACAAGGAGGAGGCTGAACAACATGACATTGACATCAATCCAGGCCTCTCTTCACACTCCAGTCTTATTAGGTGGAAGAAATGGAAGGAATGTGGAGACCTGGGTGTAGAGTCTTAGTCAAAAACTACTAATAAGGTGCTCACTGAAAGGCTTTAATAGGACAATAGCTATCCCAATGAATTTAATCTATTCATTAACACTTCTCTTATTGATTACTAGGAAAACCCTGACTATATCACCAAGATTCCTCCTAGTGGTGATGAAGACAACAAGGTGATGAACATCATGTGGCATCAAATTATTTACATAACAGTGATGGTCAACATGCTATGAATGATGAAATTGGAAGATAATAGTGTCCCAGGAATTCTCCTTGCTGATGAGGTGGGTCTAAGCAAGACCACCCAAATGATAGGATTGCTGGCATTTATAATGTTATGCTATTGGATGCAGAAGCTTGGCAAGGAACTGCCCCTGGTGCTCAGTGAGTATGATCCCAGTAGGGAGCCCCTTCTCTTCATGGTCCTATACATTTCATATTAACTATAACATTCTAGCACAATTACTATATTTCTGTAGCTGTAAACAGATTCCTGATGCACTGCATCTCATTTTGGTCCCTGGTACTATTATAGAGCAGATCATGGGCAAGTTGAGGCAGTGATTCCATCCTCATATCATCAACATTTTTGTCATGCTGATGATGGAGCAGAGATGGGATGAGTTCAACAAGACCATTGATTTATCCAAGCAGAACAAATGCCACATTGTGATTGTGGCAAGCCATAGTGTAAGCATTGGATTATTCACTTCAGTTTAGCTCACTGATAATGAATTTCAAATGGGTTTCAGAGCATCAGTCAATTAGCACATCACAATTTGTGGATTACAAAGTCTAAGACTGAATTGGTGTTGACTCTCTGCCCCCCTAAGATGAATTCATTGGGTTATGAGCCAATATGATCAAGGAGTTTCTTCAGTGTCATTGTCAATGAAGCACACAACTTCTAGACACTGAATGCTGCCTATCACAGCATGAATAGAATTATGGAAAATACCTGTGTGCACCTAATTGTGTCTGCAACTGCACTGTACCAGTCACCTCATGTGTGTCTTTTTTGCTCTTTTCATTCTGATTCTGATTCTGATTTTCTCTCATTATCATGTCAGGATCTATACAACTTCACAAGACTTATTCGTTGTCATGCCCTCTCTATATTCAGGCATGTAAAATTGCAAAAATCGAGAATACATGGACTGCATTTCAGTCCAGTAAGCATGTAACTGAGAATAGAATAAGAGCACACAGAAACCTAGCTATCATAAGGCTAAACTGAAGTAACAAGGAGCAGAGTGTATGGCCTAGTAGCAGACAAATACCAGAGGGATTAGACTGCATGTGAGGTCCTAGCACTTGGCCCTAAACACACCAATCCCATTATAAGAGAGTATGCTAAAAATAAAAAGGATATGATCAAAATATGATCAGCAATCCTGATCACATTGATCAATGATACACTGATGGAACATGCTTTAGAACAGAGAACTGAGACCCAAAGAAAGGTATCTGAATAACTGGGTGCTGAATAGAGAAATGAAATGATGGCAACAAAGGAATAGATAGAGGAATACTACCTTCAGAGATGAATAGCACTTGTACTGCTCTGAGACTTGCACACATACTTACAGTGCTTTAGCATGCTTACCATAGTGAGGGACTCTGCATCATACTGCAGTATGATACATATCATATTGGATAAATTAATTAATGTAAGTCAGGCTAGAAGCAGTGCATTTTATGAGCTGGAGAGAATGTTGAGACACTGGAAAAGAGAACATAACTATTGTGGCTGACTCCAGACATGGGAGATAACTCTGGGGGTCCAGAACAGTTTACTGCTGTCAGAGATGTGTCACTGAGGAAATAAGAAAGAAAGCAGACTGGGTTAGGCCAGCTAGTGAGGAAACATTGCACAGTCCTGGCCCAGAAGAGAATAAGCATGACAACTGCAATACATATGTGAATAATACCCATGGAATCCAGCATGGAGTCCCATGCTTTGAAGGTACCATAGTAGAATTATATTAGTAAGTACCATAGAAGAGTATTTAAATACTGCATTGTATGAGTAGAATATAAGTTTCTGACCTTCACAGTTGCAGTGTATTGGGCACAGAAAGCCTTGCACTCTAGCTCTGAGTTTGTGTTTGTAACTTTGGGCAAGAGAATAAACGTATTATTGAATATCTTTGAGAGAGCCTTGCTGCAAGTTCATGACTACAATTTCTGAGGCAGAAATTATCAGCTCAAGGCCCCATAGTTGGCACCTATCAAAACTGCACTATGACCATCTGTTAGGCCCAAGTTACACATGACTAATAACATGTGATAAATAGCTGCTACCTCATACTTGGGTACAATGACTAAGTCTATAGATATCAGGGGGTGCATCAAGGCATTTGCAGTTTGCTCAAGATGAAGTGGTAAAGATAAACTTTAGCTTGAAGCTGAGAATTACCAGTGAGAGAGAGCCTTCTTAAATACTGTACAAGTCCTGTGCTAAATATACTACTGCTAATTGTGCATTGTCAAGTCCTTTGTGCCCATTGTCCTTGGGTGTCACTACCATACATAAAAGGTCAATTGTGTGTTGTTGGGCAATGCTGCTGTGTCAAAAGACAATGATGAACTTGGCCTTGTTTGTGATGACTGAGCCTGTCTCACAGTCTTAAGCACCTGTGCTAGCATCCTGACTAAGCATAAATAGGGGTTAATCAGGAAAAAGAATAGGAAAATCATAACACCACCACTCTGGCAGATGTCTATCAGTGTTGTTTGAGCACCATGAGATCAGGCAATAGATGCTCTATATAAATGGCAGTGATGTGGCCTCCTCCTCTGTCTTTCCTGTCATATATAAGCACTGACTCAATCCCCTGTAGATGTGCCATATGCTCATTTTCAGAAATATACACAACTATGCAAGTGGTGATCACACCATTATATGCATCAACTGAGATAAGAAACTTGTCAATGCTTGAATGGACTACCAGGTAGAGCTAAGAGCAAATCACTGGATGAAGGAGCAATACAAGACCAAATGTGTGTAATTTATAGTATGTTGATGAGCACAAAGCTGTAGCTCTCTTTACTACCAAGTCGATCTGTGCATTCCTGACTTTCTTGATGAAATAGCATATATGTCACTATTACTCATCATCTCAGGAAGTATGAGGTGAGTACTTGTATTTTGTTTTCATTGTTCAAGCTTCATAGCCTAGCATTCCTAGGCAAGGCTCACACACTCTTCACTAGGTGGGCCTGTGTCCCAGCACTGTTAATTCTCAAGTCTCTCTGAAAGACTTGCTGTAGTGCTACAAGCCATTCTTGATTGAAACTGGTCAGAGTGAAATATCTATGGATGTTGCTAACCTCTTTCTCCTCCATTGTTTGTCAGTGTGAGATGAAGCAGACATAGTGAATTCATATGCTGAGGATGTGTGCTTGTCATCATAGAGAATCCTGTCAGCAGCAGAATTTCATCCTAAAATCAAAGCTGATTGAGCACTAAGAAGCTCTGGGATTGGAATACATATATGGAGGATAATTCATACACAGAGGTGCAGATCTGTGAATGTGGATTGCAAAGACAATCAGACATCATCTTCACATCTGAGGTCTCAAAATGAAAGTTATGCCACCAATAAAATGCATGTTGGCAAGTGATCAATCTGCTGACATAGGACTCAGATATTTCTGGGAGGTTTGTGGATCAGAGCTTTGCCAAAAGGAAAGACAATGGGATCATAGGAGAAAGTATTTTAGGGAAGAATATAGCTGTGCCCTAATTGAAATTGATCAGCTCTGGCTGCAATAAAGCAGGAAGGTCCTGTCTATCACTCAGATTGGCAGCATGGTATGATATCTAGCTAGTCAATAGCTTTGCAGATAATGATGGAATGTGCAAGTTCCTGGAACTGAAGCACTCAGTTGCTAATCTTCTCTGTGAATGATTGACCATGAATAGGGCAGACTCCTGCTAGTAGTGCAACCATGAAATTTAGCTATAGGATGGCCTCATCATTTGAAACATATTGATTTACCTCAAAAGCACTTGAAGAAATATCTTTAAAGAGGTCCATTTGTATGTAAAATGATTGCCTGATATTCTGTCTGAAGCTGCCAGATGGAATCAAATCATATTATGTCCTACTTTACATTAGAGAGATGTTCCACTGATCCACAGCACTTGTGTCCAATGCTGGTTATATGATAAAAAAAGTCCTTCAGCATTTGGCACTGGCATCTACTGTGCTGATGCTTGAAGTGCACTTTCTGTGCTGCTAGGCTATTGAGGATAAAACCAGGCATTTCTCAAAGGGATTCATCTCAAATGGATGTAGGTAGGGTCCACTTCCTCCTCATTGTTCAGCAGCCAGCTAACTGCAACTCTCCCTCTTGCATTTGTGACCACCAGCCTAAACATAACAGCTTCTTTGAAAAACTCAGGTATATTTGTCATGATTTGTTACTGAGTCCTTACTCTGATCTGGAAACCCCTTCACACTTTGAAGAACTCTTTTTTTAAAACACAGGACATTTGCATCATCCATGATGTAAAAAGGATATAGTGTCCACTTATAGCTGCTACACAGAATCAAACCATATTCTTCTCTATGTTGGGCCAATCTTCCCCTCATTGATGGATGACATGTCCAAAAAAGATTCAGAATTATTGTGTGCCTGTTGGAACTCTGCCACAGGCTGACTTATATTAGGATGAATCATTTTTCCAGTACTCACTCATTGATTCAACCTTTTTTCCCTCTAAGTTGTCAGGGGATGTGAACTGACATCTTCATCAGTGTTGAATGGAGCCCTGATTATGGATATAGCTTGATGGGGAAGGAACTCTATGTGCAAGCAAAGGTAATGCATGGGAAGTCAATGTTGCCCTTCATAAAGCATGATCCAAGGTAATACCTAAGAATAGTCTATAATTGAAACAGAAGGAGAGCTATGACAGAGATGCAAATGAGGGACCAAAATACATCCATTGAAAAAGTCATTGCCAGTCCTGGTAATAGTATGATCAGATCCATGGTTATTCCACTGCTGTATACTAAATGATTCACAAGTCACTACAGAAAAATATTCATAAAATTTTCTATAGCCAAAAATAAAAAACAAAAAAGAATCACAAGCATATAGAAGAAAGAAGGGGTAAAACAAACCCATGCCATGGTTCTAAAGAAGAGATAAAAATCGCAGAAAGCACATCTCTGAGTGGTTACAAGCTTATATCACAATTCCATTCAACAAAATAATATTTTGGAGGAAACAGCAGGAGATTTGGAGGTCATGAGATGGTTTCCACTTTGAGGAGCTTACATCATCATCATGGGCAAATTTGAGACAACTCTCAGATGGCAATGGATATATAATGGAGCTCTGGGGCCTCTGTTGAGTTTCTTGCCAAATGTCTCTCCAAATCACACAGTCAAGTCATTCAGCTCATTTTTGATCTTTCAAATCATACATCAGTCTGTCTCTTAGTTTCTTTATGATTATCCCATACTAACTATCTTGTTTTCTCTCTCTTTGTTCAGTGCTTTCTTGATTTCCTAGGAGCTACAAGAAGACTCAGAGCTCTGTTCACAAGGACCCTACTATCTCTCTGACCACCACTGCATCAATCTTCTCCTCTTTGGACCTTGGCAGCAATGTCATGTCCAGTGCTACTTCCTACACTCCTGATGCACACACTGTCTCCAAGGTAGAGGCTCAGTCCTATTATGCAGGCTTTCATTCTGAGCCCACATTGCTTTTCTGCATGGTAAGGAGTGGTCTCTACCTAGCAGACCTGAGGCCTAGTGCCATTTGAAGGAGCTGCATGAAGTCTTCAACTATCTAATTATGATGGTCTGGAACTATGACTTGGGCTGAATGATTGTCAAGCTTTTAGATGCTCATATGGTCAGTTAATAGGTATCCATCATATTATAGAATTTGCTAACTAGAATTTCTATGTCTGCTTTATGATGATAGACATCATTCATTTCAAGATGGTTGAGGTTGACAAAGCACCAAAGGATGAAGAAGACACTAATAAATAAATAGTAGAGGCTAAGAAACCAGTTGTTGGTCACATCACCATTTGGATTGGCATCTTCTCTGAGTCTACCTCTGCCATGGCTGCCCACAATGCAGCTCAGGACATCTTAGTCCTTCTCAAGGACTACCAGATCACCAATGTCAATGTTGACTTCTGTGAGTCCTTCTACATATATGAGGCTAGTTCTCAGCTTCTCAAACCTGTCAGTGACATGAACCCACTCATTGACATTATTAGTGCTCTCACTCCTGCTCTCATCCTCTGCATCTCTACTAAGGCCAGACCTGATGCTGAAGGAATGGTGGCCCTCTGCCTTATAGGTAAGCAGTACATGAATTGCTCAGAAAAACCTCAGAAGCAACCCAAAGTTAGGGTTAAAACCAATGACAGTACACAGAACAGCAGTGGTGGGACCATAAAATGCAACAGGTGCCTCCCTCAGTGCATGAACCATGCACAGGCCAGTATCATGAATGCACAGCAGTCCCTCTTGTGCATAGTCTGTGCACTGTGGTAGGAGGCATGTCTTTTTCATAGTACATCAAGTCTATGTCCATTTGCATGTGATATGAGCATAGAGAGTGCATTTCACTTGCAGTACATGACCAATTCTTGAAATATAGCCATTCTTATGTGTTAGATTCTACACAGAGAGCACATCCAGTCTATGGTACATGATCAATTCTCTAATTATGCCTATTCTTGTCATGTAGATTCTTGTAGGGAGCACATTCCATGTACAGTACATGACCAATTCTCTAATTATAGCTATTCTTGTGTTTTAGATTTTAGGCTGCATTCTTTTTAGTCCCAGAACATTCTCACCAATTGTTGCTTGCATTGTTAGTGACATGAAACATATACATTACAAAAATTCATTGTATGAAGTATTAAATGCAATATAAAACTATAAAATTGTTTTTTTCAAAAAGCATCTAATGGCCAATAAAGTAATGTCAAGAAAGCCACCTGTCAATGACCTCAATGCTTGAACTGACTCCATGCCCATTCTTGCATATTAGGCCTGAATGATCTATTGTATTCAATTGTAAAGTTTGCCTGTGAAACTGGTGGAGTCTGTAGGGCTGCATTAGCAGTATCCTTTGACTTTTCCACTTGAGATCACATCCTTAATCTTGCTCTTCTGTGATGACTCTAGAATTCCTGACTGAGTATTCAACTTATCTGTTAGTGCAGTCAAAATAGACTTCTTCTTTCTGCCATGCAAAGGGGTTGGCATCAAAAGAGACAAGAGGGTCTTAGAAGGTAGAGGACTAGGATCATTAAAGTCAAGGAGATTATTGTGAGGTTATGAAGCACTGCTACTAGCAGTCCTCTCATAGCTTTCTAGCTCATTGTTTCTAATTGGTTTATTAGTATCTGGTGTCAAAATAATATCTCTGGAGGGTGCAGTGATGGCAGTAATTCTAGGCTCTGACAGCAGCATAACTGCAGGTGTAGAGGGAGGGATGACAGTATGGGGACTTGGAGGAGAGAATAATGGGGCTGAGGGTTGAGATTCACTTTGAGTGGATTGTGCATTATCCTTCTCAATGGTATTCTGCAGTGTTCTGGGCACTGGGCACTGACTTCATGATAGGCTTGAGCTTAGACTTGGGTTTTGACTGAGTATTCAATGGTTCAGCCTCATTCATGGATCCTCTCTGCATTGTCTTCTCTACCTTCTTGGCAGCAGAAGCTCCCTCCTTGTTGCCATCCTCTGTCACATTCTTCAGCACTTTATGACAATAGTGGGATTCATTGATGATATCTGCTTCCTTTGTTTTCACTATTTTCTTGCTAGTCATCTCATGTTTTTTGGCAGAAGGCTCTTCAATGGTGCTTTCTTGGTGGCTGTCATCATTATTGTTGTCACTTTCTCCATCAGCTGCAGCAGGAGCATCTGCTGGTATATCATAATTGTACAGCAGCTGGAAAGCCTCTGCAAAAATATGAATAAACTATTATTATTCTAAAGTAAAAGGAACTCACTTCTGTTTTGACAGACATTAAAATCAGGCTTCTTGAAGAAGTGGTGAAGCTGCTGGGCTTTTGTACCTGAGTGTTGAGCCATTAAGACATCAATAGTGTCTATCACAATAAGGTGAAAGACATAAATAGTTTTTTTTTGCTCATGACAATAGGCATAACCAATCATCTGTTCTTTTTAGATAGCAGTCCAACCAATATCCTGTGGGATCTGAGTCAGTGAATGTGAACTAGGAATGATGCTGAAACTTATGAAGGGGATGACAACAGAAGCTCTCATCAGGTTAAGCCCAGAGTTATCTGTCTAGCTGAGCAGAAGCATGCAAACATCTGAATTGGGATGGAGGAATTTCTCAACCACCTGTTGATATGCTGTGAGCCTCATAGAGCTATTCAGTGACAATATTTTAATGCCATGCATAATGAAGACCTAAACAAAGTGAGTATACAGTTAGTATGCAATAAATAAGAAAGATTCAAATTACATACCAACATGATGAATTCATTCATCATAGGGAACTCATGAAAAATAAGGATCTTTATCTGCTGAGTCCTCTTCTTATTGCTCATCACCATTGCAGAAGGATCAGGGAAAACAAGATGACCATCTTCAAAATATGGCAGAGACACATTGTCATTGGACAAATAGTGCCTGCACAATCTCAAGGTCACCTCAAGCTTTAGTTCTGGATACTTTTTTCACTCTTCAAGACTTTCAAATGGTGGAAAAATTTTCTTGCCAGATTTCAACAGATAGTTAAGATTACATTGAGATTGAGGATATGCTATGGTCAGCCAGTAATTAGGCACAAACATCTAACAGAAAAATAAGCAAAATTGTAAATTTGATAATGTATTATGAAACAGAAATGCTCACTACTGTTATGCAATGACTTACCATGGCATCTGTGACATCAACAGCTCCATGTGCCTTCAAACTAGAAGAGTCTGCATCAGATCCATGGCCCTGATAATTTTTTATGTACTCACTCACTGCTCCATCTTGACATCTGGTTATCTATCTCATGTTTCTTAATGTCTGCCATGCTTACCATAATCTTGATCTTTTCATATGATGGGAGTTCATTCAAGAGCATGATAGGCTTGTCAGCCAGAAGGTCAGTGTACTTGATCAATGTCACTGCTCATTGAATGATGCATCTTTTGTAATGAGCCTGTATATTGATGACTCAGTTATTGTTAGCTTCATACACCCCTTTGTATAGATTTGTGCCATCAACACCTTTTAAAGCATTGGTGTTGAATATAGTGAGAGCATCATTATTACTATTGTTACTCTTGGTGACATCCCTCCATATCTTTGACAGCTCTCTGACTTTCTTTTTCTTGAGTGATTCAGCCTTCTTACCCATGAATGCCTTCAAACAAATGAGTCTGGCAAGATTGCATAGGTCCTGACATGATAATGAGAGAAAATCAGAATCAGAATCAGAATGAAAAGAGTGACAAAGGCATACATGAGATGACTGATACAGTGGAGTTGCAGACACAATTAAGCATATGCAGATATTTTTCATAATTTGATTCATGCCATAGTAGGCAGCATTCAGAGTCTGATCAAGGAGTTTCTGCAGTGTTATCATTGATAACACTGCAGAAACTCCTTGACCAGACTGGGCTCATAACCCAATGCATTGGTCTTAGCAGAGCACAGAGCAGACACTAATTCACTCTTAGACTTTGTGATCCATAAATTTTGATGTGCTAACTGACTAACACTCTGAAACCCATTTGAAATTCATCATCAGTTAGCTAAACCTGAGTGAATAACCCAATACTTACACTATGGCTTGCAACAATCACAATGTTATATTTGTCTTGCTTTGACAAATCAATGGCTTTATTGAACTCATCCCATCTCCACTCTATTGTTGGCATTACAAAGATGTTGATAACATGAGGATGTAACCACCATTTCAACTCACCCATGATCTGTTCTATAATAGTTTCAGAGACCAAAATAAGATGTAGCATATCAGAAATCTCTTTATGGTCACAGAAATAGGGCAATTGTGCTAGAGTGTTATAGTTAATATAGAATATATGGGACAATGAAGCAAAGGGGCTCCTTACTCAGGCCATACTCACCAAGCACTGGAGGCAGTTCCTTGCTGAGCTTCTGTGCCTGATAGCATGATATTATAAATGCCAGCAATCCCAACATTTGAGTGGTCTTGCCCAGACCCACCTCATCAGCGAAGAGGATTCTGGGGATATCATTGTCATCCAATTTTGTTGTCCACAGCATGTTCACCATTGCTGTTATACCAACAACTTTATGCCATATGATGTTCATCATCTTGTTATCTTTATCACCACTAGGAGGAATCTTGGCAACATAGTCAGAGTTTTTCCAATAATCAGTGAGAGAAGTGTTAATGAATGGGTTAAATTCATCAGGATGGCCATTGTTCCATTGAAGCCTTTCAGCCAGCATCTTATCAGTAGTTTTTAACTAAGACTCTGCATCCAGATCTCCACATTCCTTCCATTTCTCTCACTCAATAAGACCAGAATGCAAAGAAAAGCCTGGATTGATGTCAATGTCATGTTGTTCAGCCTCCTCCTTATTGCATAAGCTTTCAATGCTCTGGAGCCATGAAGCAAGGTCCTCATGGAGCATCACTATTTCTTCTTCAATGGCCATAACAGCAATCCTTCAATTCATCATACATCCAAAGATGTCTGCAAAATATGTCAGATATGCAGAGTGCCACATTAAATGTGGAACTTACACTGTGAACTCTTTTTGTTCTTCTTCAACTCCTCCTCCTGAGCCTCTGCCTTCAAAAGTGCCTGTTCAAACTCACTCTTCCTTTACTCATATTCTGCCAATGCAGTCTTGTCCTGCTCTGTCACCTTCTAACTAATGTACTTCTCATATTTCTCAAAAGTATTAGAGATCTTCTTTGCATCTTTTAGATTAATTTGGCCATTGCCAGATTCAAAAACTGACAAAGTTAGTAGAAAACAAAACAGATATAAAGAGCACACATGTTTCTACACAGCATCAAGCTCTCTCTTTGCCTCAAGTCTGTATGTTTCTGCATAGTGGTGATTCTTGCATTGACATTCAATGTAGTCCAATATCAAGGAGTGGATCAGTTGCTGGAACTCCTTTCATATACAACCTGACTCACTGTCCTCAAACACTCTGTCAAATATGCTTTCTGCAATTTCTGCCTCCTTCAATCCAAACATCATAAGTATAACAAATTTAGCATTCCCTTTCTTCACAGCTACATAATACATTGCCTAGATGTTGATGATTGCATAAAGAATAGCATAGTTGTATGTGATTCTGAGCATTAACACCATGCATAATTTGAACCACCAGTTGTGATATATGCTATGGCTTTAGAGAAACATATCAGAACCCTTTGTATTGACACAAGTTATAGCTTCATCCAAGAGGAGATTTCCAATGTACTTCAGAAACTCATGGATTGCAGAGAACTCTTCATTTTTTACATTTGAGATGTGATTGACATCAAATTCAGAGAAGCTAAATTGCTACTGCTATGCTTCCTTGTCAAACAGATCAGGATATGATGCAAAAATGGCAGCAAATAGAGCATGAGACTTCTGTGCAATGTGAGGCATTTTGAAGATGAGCAGCAGCACCAAATGACAGAGTGAAAATCAATTTTTTTTGAGAGGAGAAAGAAAGAGTAAAATATATGTGACATCTATGCTCTATATATATAGTGCTATAGCATACAAAGCTTGATCTTGATAGTGGGGTTTATCTCACAGATGTTAAAAAATTTGTTTTCTTCTATTTTAGATATATCAACATCAAAGATCAGTGTTGAAATGTGTAGAAACATATTTGATAAGAAGTGTAATTAACTGTACCTGAGTATATGCAGCTCCTTATACAGCTTTTTCTTTTTCAGAAACTTGATCAATCAATGACCACAGTTACTGCAGTTTTTCAAAAAATATTCAGAAAAAAGATTCAGATATGTTCACTGATTATCAAAATAGAATGTACTCAAAAAACTAATTGTAAGCTGCAATACATCAGTGGAAACTGAATTTTACTACCATATATTTAATGTAATTATAGCTTTGATTGTGCAAATTGCTTTTTGGCCATTGTGCTATGCACTCTGCCAAATGTTCAATCTTATTACACAGCCACTCAATTATCATCTTTTATCTGATTGATCAATTTCATTGTGGATTGATAGCCAGCAGTATCAATGTCAAAATGCTGTAAGCACTAATAACATTTGATCATGACTCTCTACTTCTGTGTTTGCTCCTCTGCCTCTCATGCTCAATGTGTATTCTTGCCCTCTGATGTAATCCATGCCCATTCCATCCATTCTATCAGCTGATCACAATCTCTGACTTCAGTGCTAAATCTATGCTATGAAGATTGACCTTTAGATGAACAGCAGCATGACTTAGAGATACACTAACATGCAATTAGTGATGTTTAAGTCAGATATAGTGAAATGCATAAGGGTGGAGGAGCAGGAGATCAGAGTGCAGTTAGAGGATATGCTGATAGACTGGCTACTATTGTAAGTGCCATATACAGCTGTCATGATCTGATTAATTTTAGATCAGAGAGCTAGAGCATGGGTCTGATCTTCATCAGACAATCTGAAGATTAAGTGCAGGAGTCAGAGTCTGAGACATCCACTGCATAGTCAGCAGTAGCAGTGACTATTCTTCTTGTAGGCAAATACAATGGAAGGATAACAGTGGACAAATAATTCTTAGGTATAAACTTCTGAGGCTGGAGGACAAGATGCTATAATATGAGTTCTGTCATTCTATGAAATTATCTCTCATATTTTGCAGGAGCATAGAATGCTTCATTTTGATGATACAATCCTATCTATTCATTTCTCATTTCTTGATGATCACTACTCTTTTTGTACTTAGCATTGTTATATCCCTGTAGCATACTTGCTGACCATATATCTTGACAGCATAAACTTCCATACAATATCAAACCATGGTCATTCCTATACCTAATGTACATTTATTTTAAAAATGTAAAAGAGATCTGTAGCATATGAAATCTTATTTTCTGTTCAACATTTATTAATGAAGATCATATTCTGCTCTGCATGTGAAAATTGGTGAAGTATCATGAATGGAATGCACTCTCTATATGATTTAAAAACACCAGAATGAGCATAGTTAGCCTGCTAGTGATATGCTTAGAGTCTGCCAGTGACTGGCAGATTCAATACTTGTCCAACTCAATCTCAAGCCACTGATGATCTTGCTTTTCAGTGGCACATTTCTAAATTATCTAACATATATAAGAGTGGACATACCATTATATAGGCACAGAAAACTTGGTGGCACTAGAATGATCTGATGTCACCTTAACAGCTATCACATATGAAAACAGAAACATTACCACACTATACACCATGCTTCAAGCAACTTGGGAAGGTCTGTTTTTGGACTTCAGAGTCTCTTCAATCATTGAAATGCAACAATGACCAACCCAAAGGGCATCATCTAGGCTCACTTTTTCCCAACAGACAGTGAATCTATGGCATGCTTGATATAGAATCAGATGAGGCATCCTAGTCTAATATAGAGCCCTAGTACTTTTACATAAGTTGTTACTACAATTTCTTGAGCACTGTGTGCATGCATAGTTTCTGGAACAAACAGCCTGTAAAAGAGCAAGTAAGATGAACTTGGCCTCTCTTTATGCCCAGCACTAAATTGTGTCCAAATTTAGCTTTAATTTAGTTCAATTTAGCATATTTTATGCTTATAGATAGGTGATACAAAAATTGCTCAGAAGAACCTCAGAAGCAACTCTAAGTTAGGGTTAAAACCAATGGCAGTACATAGAACAGCAGTGGTGGGACTATGAAATGCAATGGATGCCTCTCTCAGTGCATGGACCATGCACAGGCTAGTACTGCAAATGCACAGTGGTCCCTCTTGTGCATAATCAATGCACTGTAGTAGAGGGCATGTCTGTTTCATGGTACATTAAGTCTATGTCTATTTTGAATGTGACATGGGCATAGAAAGCACATTTGTTTTATGGTACATGACTGATTCTCTATTTATGATCATTCTGGTCTTTCTCAATCATGTAGAGAGCACTTCAAGTCTGCAGTACATGACTGATTCTCTAATTATGGCCATTCTGATGTTTTAGATTCTTGTAGGGATCACTTCCAGTCTGCAGTATATGATCAATTCTCTATTTATAGCTATTCTTGTCATTTAGATTCTTATACTATCTTTTTCAATCATATATGGAGTGCATTTCTTTGGTGGTACATGACAAATTTTTTATTTATAGCCATCCCTTTCTTTTTCAGTTGTCTAGAGAGCATCTTCAATCCATGGTCCATTGCCAATTTTTGACTGTATCTCTATTTTGCACATGGCATTGCTGTAGAGAGTGCATTTGTTTCATGGTCCATGACCAATTTTTTATTTGTGGGGATCCTTTTCATTCACATTCAGCATAGGTGTTATGATTTTCTTTTCTTTTACTTTTCTCTTTTAGATTAACCCCTATTTATGCTTAGTCAGAGTGCCTAAACCAGCATCTAAGACTGTGAGATCAGCTTAGTCAGCACAACAAGCTGCATCCATCATTGTCTTTTGACACAATAGTGATACCCAACAATACACAATTGCTCTTTTGTAGACAGTAACAACACTCTAAGGCAATGAGCACAATGGCACAGACTACCACAATTGACAGTAGTAGTATATTTATCTCCACAGACATGTATATAAGCAGTATGGCTCTTGCTAGTATAACTCAGCTTCAAGCTAAATTTTATCCATCTCATTCTACTCTTGAGCTATACTTGCAAAGCCTTGAAACACTCAGTCAACTAGACACAATAAGTGAACTCTAGTGCAAAGGTTCAAACATGAAACCATGCTAGTTTATCATGTGCTTAGATCACATGTAGCTTGAGTCTAATAATAGGAGCCTCTCCATTTCAGAGTATATGGCCTTCTTCTTTTCATTTTAAAATTGGTGATGCACTGCAAACCAGAGGGGCTCTCTACACCAGTAACATGTGAAAAATAGATATAGAGCTGAAAATTGGTAATCAAGTGTGAAACAAATATGCTTTCTATACCAATATTATCTGCAAAATGGAGATATACTTAAAAATTGGTCATGGGCCATGAAACAAATGCACTCTCTACAGCAATGCCATGTGCAAAATAGAGATACAGTCAAAAATTGGCAATGGACCATGGATTGAAGATGCTCTCTAGACAACTGAAAAAGAAAGGGATGGCTATAAATAAAAAATTTGTCATGTACCACCAAAGAAATGCACTCCATATATGATTGAAAAAGATAGTATAAGAATCTAAATGACAAGAATAGCTATAAATAGAGAATTGATCATATACTGCAGACTGGAAGTGATCTCTACAAGAATCTAAAACACCAGAATGGCCATAATTAGAGAATCAGTCATGTACTGCAGACTTGAAGTGCTCTCTACATGATTGAGAAAGACCAGAATGATCATAAATAGAGAATTAGTCATATACCATAGACTGGCAGTGATCTCTAGAAGAACCTAAATGACAAGAATGGTCATAATTAGAAGATTGGTCATATACCATGGACTGGATGTGCTCTCTAAACCTATGCCACATGCAAAATGGACATACACTTGAAAATTTGTCAGACTATAAAACAAATGTGCTCCTTACACCAATATCATGTGCAAAGTGGACATAAAGTCAAAAATTAGTGAGACACTGTGAATCAGAGAGGCTCTCTAGCCAAATGTGAAAGAAAAGAAGTGCTATAAATAAAAATTTCATAATATACTGCAAAACAGAGGGTTTAAAGACACTATATGTCCAAAATGCAATTAACAATGTCATATCCATCCACTAACTTGATAATGCTGGACTGAAGGCTAAATTCTTTAATGGAGAAGTCACATTCCTTCATAACAGTGGTGCAGTCCTTGCAAAGAGAAAGAAAGTAAATCCACTTTACTTCATAAAAATGCAAGTGCAAATGAATCTAGAATGGTCACATATTCCTAAATAAAGTGAAAACACTTAGGATTCATGGTATCTTCAATATGTGCACCTTAGAAAGAAGAGATTGGAGCAACTACAGAAGGATGGTATTATCTCAGTTGATCAAGACTCACCACTATTATCCCAATGTCAGGCATGCATATATATGAGCAAGCAACAATGCAAAGTTTGTTACAGCAGTGAATCTGATGAAGCATTCAAAGTACACATACAAT